CTGCAACCTCTGCCTCCCCGGTTCAAGCGATTCTCCTGCCTCAGCCTCTCGAGTAGCTGGGACTACAGGCACCCACCATCACGCCCAGATAATTTTTGTATTTTTTAGCAGAGACGGGGTTTCACCATGTTGGCCAGGCTGGACTCGATCTCTTGACCTTGTGATCCGCCCACCTCAGCCTCCCAAAGTGCTGGGATTACAGGCATGAGCCACCGCACCCGGCCAAAGCTACATTCTTTATTTGTAAGTGCTACGTAGGGTTCCATTGAGTCAAACTGCCGTAATTTACTTAACGAACCCTTATTAGATCATTTACTATTTTTTTATTATTATAAGTAGTGCTGTGACAAGCATCGTGATAGAGTATCTTTCTATATTTGAACCACTCCCTCCTTAGGAAAACCTTTAGGAGATGCTGGGTCACCCTGTAGGCATTGTTTGCTTCATGTGACTCTGGACACTGCAGAAAGCGTCCTAGGAGGTTGTGAAGACACATCCACCCCCTGCCCTGCCCCCTAGCCAAGGCTTCCTGGCTTTTAAGAAAGGAATAGCTCTTCTTAAAATTTGTGTCTTTGGCCAAAGAGATAGGTGGTCTCAACCCAGGGACCCTGGTTAGAGGGTGAGGCGGAGGGGGTGGCTTCCCTGGCCAGATGTTTGTCTTCTGTTCTCAGCTCCATGCTGCTCTTCTGTAAACCTAGAAAAGTTCATTTACGGCTTTTTGTATCCCAGGCTGGAACCTTGAGGCCTTCTTAAATCATGTCACACCCCAGGAGGCTGTAAAAGCTCCTTGGCTGGGGGACGTATTGGGAGCAGCAGAAACAGTGCCGTACCCTGTTTCTCCTGAGACCCTCTCGGTATCTGCTCTGATTGTTTCCTTGCCTCAGTTCAACTAGCATTTCTGGAGGGGGAGGGATCGTAGTAAGAAAATCAGTGTGGTTAGCTCGGGAAGCACAGTGAAGGAGGCCTCTTCTGTCTGGAAGAGCCCTTGCAATCCACGAGAGGGCTGAGTGAGGAATGGAAACTACTCTGATGGGGAGGCAAGGGATGCACAGAGTTGGGGACTCACAGCGGAGGGGGCAGGGATTCCAGGGGACTATTGGATGGGGCAGGGCATTGATGAAACCTTTGTGGAGCAGGGAGCATTCAGGTGGAGTCTCAAAGGGTGGGGTAGAATTGCAGCAGGAGGTGATAAGAGGGTATGGAAGGACCAAGCTGTAGACGGACAACAACAAAGAAAAGGCCCCCAAAAAGTCAGCTGCGATTCTTCCTGGATCCTGGAACCGTGTACACTCGGGTCAGTTTTCTGCAGCTTTGACAGCCTTCCAGACAGGCCAAACGAGGCATGAGACAGAGCCTCGATGTCCTTACTGTGGATACTCCAGTTGGATCCAGAAAGGATTTAAGGCATCTTCAGGGAAAAGACAGGACTTGGGTCTACAGCTGACCCCATGGGTCCTGTTGGCCAGCAGGCTCACCTGCCAAGACCAGGGTGCCAGGGAGATGGCTCCAAGTAACGGTGCTGTCTGCTGGCTGGTGCAGGGCTCCTGGTGCTGAAGGACTTGGGCATTCAGGTGGACCGCTACATTGCCTCGGAGGTGTGTGAGGACTCCATCACGGTGGGCATGGTGCGGCACCAGGGGAAGATCATGTACGTCGGGGACGTCCGCAGCGTCACACAGAAGCATGTATGTCCATGCTGTGGGGCGCAGCCCGTCTTCCCCACCCTGCACACTCAGCACCTGGAGGCAGCCCTTGCCTCCTTTCATTTTGTTCATTTGCCCTCTTTCTCTTCACCCTTTGCCCCAGCCTCTTTTTCTCCTTATCTTCCATTTGTCCTCTGTCTTGAGAGGGTAAAGGGCAAATTGAAATGGGAATTTGGGCTAGGCATGGTGGCTCATGCCTATAATGCCAGCACTTTGGGAGGCCAAGGTAGGAGAATCCCTTGAAGCCAGGGGTTTAAGACTAGCTTGGGCAACATAGTGCCTACTTGAGCTCTGGCTACTCCCTGGACTGGTTTCTGGGCCATTTCTGGAAGAGCTTTTTGGATTAGAGAGAGGTTCCTGTCCTCCCAGTACTTTTGGCAAATAGCTTTACCAGCTTCCATATCTGGGAGGCTCGGGCAGGGTCTTCCCTTAACCATGACTACAGGCCCTCTGGAGTCCTGAAGGGCAATTGGAGGACACTCACATGGCCCAGACACCCTGCCTAAGACACTCAGAGTGCCAGGTACCTTCAGACTCAGCCGTTCACGTGGGTCGCCTTCCCATTGGGCGGCTGTGTTGCCTGCCTGGGTGATACTAATTTCCCCACTGGCCTGAGAAATGATCCAACTTGGTCCCCTTCTTGTTTAGGACTTGTCCATGGTTGCAGTTAGGGTCGTGAGCCTGCAGAGCAGCTGGGTCTCCTCTTTCGTGTCAAAGGACTTCTTTGCCAAGTTCACAGATAATTTCTCTTTCTTCCTGTCTGCCTCTGTCCCTGGACAGCAGGCCCATCACTTTGCCTTTATCCTCCCAGATCCAGGAGTGGGGCCCATTCGATCTGGTGATTGGGGGCAGTCCCTGCAATGACCTCTCCATCGTCAACCCTGCTCGCAAGGGCCTTTACGGTAGGTACCATCCTGTCCCCTCCACCTTCTCAGCTGGTGCTTCTGCACGTAGGCTTCCTCCTTGGATATTTCTGCCCTGGGACAGCTATTCCCGATGACCCTGTCTTCCCGTGCCCTCCCCGTGCCCGAGCCACACCACTGTCCTATGCAGACAGCCCCAGCTGATGGCTTTCTCTTCCGACCTCTCAGAGGGCACTGGCCGGCTCTTCTTTGAGTTCTACCGCCTCCTGCATGATGCGCGGCCCAAGGAGGGAGATGATCGCCCCTTCTTCTGGCTCTTTGAGAATGTGGTGGCCATGGGCGTTAGTGACAAGAGGGACATCTCACGATTTCTCGAGGTATAGCCAGCAACCTTGGTTTGGCCAGCTCACTAATGGCTTCTACCTTGGACTGCTGCTTCATCCTGTCTCATCTGCATTGTGGAGCTGGGGACTGGTGACTTCTGCTTTGCAAGGGGCCTGTTTGGGAAGCCCCAGGCTTCCCGGATAGAAAGGGAGGAAGCAGGGTTAGAGGCCTACCTCAGAAAGAGCCAGTGGTCTCACTCTAAGAGGTGGCATTGTGGGTGTGAACCTCCGGGGTTGAAGGACCTGTCACTAAATTGGGTGGAGCGCCAGACTCCTGGGGTTGTGCATTCTGTATGGTGTTTGTTACACACCGGGACCTTTGAGAGGACAAAATCAGTTTTACCTGAGCAAGAAGGGCCTATCTTCATTCCCTGGTACTCGAGAAGAAAACAGGACTCAGCTCAGTTTTCATTCCTTATCATGTGAATCCCCGTTTAACCCTGAGCCAAGTCTGAGCCACGTGCAGAGGGCTTCTGCTGCCGGAGGCGTACTCGGAGTGGCCCTTCTGGGAGCTCAAGCCCACCTGTGCTCCTGAGTCTTGGGTGGGTCACACTGTGAGCTGGTGTTCTGACTATAAGTGTGAGCAGGTGTCTATTTGAGTTATAATCAGGGCTCATGGTAAACACACGCATACTCGCTGGAGCCTGGGCTCTCCCAGCCTCTGGACAGTCTGGAGCCGCACTGTGCAATATGGTAGCCACCAGCCACATGCGGCTATTTACATGAACATTAACCATTCAGCTCCTCAATCACATTGGCCTCATTTTAGGTACAAAATAGCCACCTGTACTAGTGGGCTAGTGGCCACTGAATTGAACAGTGTAGAGGACATCCCACCATCGCAGAAGTTCATTTGGACAATGCTGATCTAGAACGTTCCAGTGACAGCTTGTGGAATGTGGCTAGGTGTAATTCCAGCTTCTCCTGGAGGCTGCAGGCTAGCCCAGTGTGTGGCTCCTGAGAGAGAAGTAAGAGGCTTTGAGGCTTTAAGGCTCAACCCCAGCAGCATGCCGGCGCTGTTTCATGCTCCTCCTTGGCTCATCTTCAAACCGTCTCCTGTTTTGTAGTCCAACCCTGTGATGATTGATGCCAAAGAAGTGTCAGCTGCACACAGGGCCCGCTACTTCTGGGGTAACCTTCCCGGTATGAACAGGTTGGTGAAAGCTCCCGGGCCTGGGGGACTGTGGGCTGGGACTGCAGGTGGGATGGCCCATGGTTGGGGGACCCCTGAGCCGGGCCCTCTCTGGCCAGCCTCTGCTGAATGACTAGTTGCTCTGCCATGTTCCTTATTTCCTTTTCCTTGAGGAGGAAGAGGAGTCAGGGTATAGAAAATACTCATCTGAAACCAACAACTAGTGGTCTTAAAGCAGGACCTTTAGAGTCGTACTGTCTTTATACCAAAGAAGAGTCATGTGCTGCTGAGTTAGGTAGTTGGTTTTCTGACATTGTGATGTGTCCCGAACCCTCTGGTTCTTAGATTCTCCTGAGGCAAAGCCATGGGCATGGCTTTGGGGCTGGGAAGGGGAGTCGTGGCCACAGCCTGTTTCAGGAGAGGGAATCTTGCTATGGCTGCATGCAAGTTCAGGGTTCTGCTTAACTTAATTTTACTAATCACACAGTTTGTTGGCTTCAGGTCCTTTTTTGGAGAGATTTTCTTCAGTTAGTTTACACAGATAAAGATTTTAATATCTAGGAATGAAGAAAATTCATTTCATCAGGTATAAAACTGGCATTATAAAAAGGCTTTTTAGGTGAAAGAAATTGTCCAGAGTTGGCAATTCAAAAGCACACTGAGAGCTGCTCAGTTCCTGACCATTGTGGAGGGAAGCATCTTCCAGAGTGTTCTGAGTCATGGGTGTTAAACCTCCGTGGTGTGCTGCTTGGTATAACTAGAAGGCATCATTTCACCTGGCCTCAAACAGTCTCCCTCCTTGCTATTCCCATGAAGTTGGAGGACCTTCCCCATCTCATACATGTTTGGTAGAGTTGCTGGCGAGGGCTTGTTGAGGGGAAGGAGAGGGGGCATGGGGGCAGCTGGCCTAAAACTGTCCACCGAGAGGTCCCAAGATATATATGTGTATTGGGAAATGGATGGGCTAATGAGGTCCATAAAGTATTTTCATGGAACCATTCAGTGTCTCCTGACAGACCTTGGTCCTGTGGGGATTTCTCACCTGCTTCTTTCAACTCTAAAATACTAAACTCTGAGCTTCTAGGAGAAGCAGAGGTCCTGTATGCAGGGTCGAGAGTCGGGGGCATCTGTCGAGCACCTGATTTGACTGCAGGCCCCGCGGTTCCCACACTGAGATCCTGGAGCCAGTCAGGGAAGCCTTCCTTAAATATCCTTACATGTCAGGAAAGGTCAGTGTTGAAGGGGACAGCCAGTCAGTTATCTGGCCTGCACCCTAAGAAGTGACATGTTTAATGTCACAGAATTTTTGGTCTTCAGGGAACTGCAGAATTTAAGTCTTTTTTTTTTTTTTGAGACGGAGTCTTGCTCTGTTGCTCAGGCTGGAGTGCAGTGGCGCGATCCTGGCTCACTGCAGCCTCTGCCTCCCAGGTTCAAGTGATTCTCCTGCCTTCAGCCTCCTGAGTAGCTGGGATTACAGACACCTGCCACCACACCTGGGTAATTTTTATATTATTAGTAGAGACGGGTTTCACCATGTTGACCAGGATGAACTCAAACTCCTGACCTCAGGTGACCCGCCTGCCTCGGTCTTCCAAAGGGCTGGGATTACAGACATGAGCCACTGTGCCTGGCCCAGAATTTAGTCTTTTAAAACTGTACATTTAAGGCTTGCGGTTTAATTTCATCTAGTGGTCACACCCATGTAACAATCACCACAAATCAAGATACAAAACATTGTCACCCCCAAAGCTTGCTTTGCAGTGGGATGCTTAAAGCTCAGTGTATTTTAGACTAACTGATGTAAAGATAGCTGTACTTTTTTTCCTTTTCTGCTAGGTGTTATCTGCCTATTCATAATTTGAGACCACTTTTGAATTTACCTTTAAGGATTAACACTTGGTGGATTTGTGTCTGTGTAGAGCTGCAGCGTGTGTTCGTGTGTTTGCGGGGAGTTTGAAGAGGGTTTTGGCATGTGTGTGTGATTTGGGGAAGGGGGGTCTTACCCTGTGAATAAGTGGCTGCTGGGGGAGGGAGGGGAGTCGTGCAGCTGGGGCCCTTCCTGCTGTTCTCCAGGTTTCTGTCGTTACAGTCTCTCTTCTGCCTCCTAGGCCGTTGGCATCCACTGTGAATGATAAGCTGGAGCTGCAGGAGTGTCTGGAGCATGGCAGGATAGCCAAGGTCAGCTCCAGCGTCCAGAACCTGTGCTGGGGGGCAGGGAGAAGGAAGGGCAGGATGAGGTGGAGGTGTGGCCAGGGCCTTGTCCTGCCTGCTCCTCCAGCTAGTTTAGGAGACGGTGCAGGGTCATGCAGCAGGGCAGCCAGAGGAGGGCCCAGGGCTGCTGGCCTTCAGCCCTTCCTCCCTGGTGAGTGTCGCCCACCACCCTCTGGTAAACACTGAGGAGTCTTTACCAAGACCTGGACGTGCTATGCTTTTTTTTTTACATTTTTAAATTTTTTGGCCAAAACCTATTACAAAAACCTTCAAAGCAGAGCAGCCTCCTGTGATGTGGAAGCTCCATTTCTCTCTGGAGCTGGAATCTCCTGGAGTGAGTACGTGGGGCATTGGGTTCTGTGTCGGCAGGTTCCAGCATTCAGAACCACTGGCAGCTCCGAGAGCATCTTTGAGCCCCTCAGTAACTTGGCATCCTTTAGCCTACAAGTTACTCCACCTCTGAAAGAACTAATTCTTTGGAAGACTTGGAAAGTATAGTGGCTACAGCTTCTACTTCTAAAGTCTGTGGCTAGGCTGGGTGCGATGACTCACGCCTGTAATCCCAGCACTTCGGGAGGCCGAGGCAGGCGGATCACCTGAGGTCAGGAGTTTGAGACCAGCCTGGCCAACACGGTGAAACCCTGTCTGACTAAAAATACAAAAATTAGCTGGGTGTGGTGGCGGGTGCCTGTAGTCCCAGCTACTCGGGAGTCTGAGGCATGAGAATCACTTGAACCCAGGAGGTGGAGGTTACAGTGAGCTGAGATCACGCCACTGCACTCCAGCCTGGTGACAGAGCGAGACTCCATCTCAAAAAAAAAAAAAAAAAATTCTGTGGCTAGATGGATCTGACTAAGATTAGCTAGGTGACCTCCAAGAAGGAAGAAAAGTGGGGCTGTGGGGTCTGCGGAGGCTCCTGCCTGGCGAACTCTGCTCACTCAGAGCCATACCCAGCCCCCTGGGTGGACCAGGCCCTGTCAGGGTTTGGCGAGTACCTGACATACTTGGTAGACTCATGACCAGTGTTGGCTGGTGAATGATTTCATGCTTATTCCTCTTTTCTCCTCTTCGTCATCTAGTTCAGCAAAGTGAGGACCATTACTACGAGGTCAAACTCCATAAAGCAGGGCAAAGACCAGCATTTCCCCGTCTTCATGAATGAGAAAGAGGACATCTTATGGTGCACTGAAATGGAAAGGTACCCGGGTTGTGCTGGCATCCGGCTGCAGTGTGGGCTGTTCTGCTTGCTGTGCTTGCTGGGGGGGTCCTCTGCCTTTCCCACCTGGCTTGTTTTCCACAAACGTCCTGGGAACAGTGCGTTTTATCAAGCATTTCTCAACATGTCAGACTCCTGGGGTGGACTCCTGGTAGATCAGGCTCCTGTGTATTTTAAGGCTGGCCCCAAGTAAGGGGAGTCTAGGGGCCAGGAGCAGTGGCTCATGCCTATAATCCCAGCCCTTTGGGAGGCCGAGGCAGGCAGATCACCTGAGGTCAGGAGTTGGAGACCAGCCTGGCTAACACGGTGAAACCGCATCTCTACTAAAAATACAAAAATTAGCCAGGCATGGTCGCGGGTGCCTGTAGTCCCAGTTACTCAGGAGGCTGTCAGGAGAATTGCTTGAATCTTGGAGGTGGAGGTTGCAGTGAGCTGAGATTGTGCCACTGTGCTCCAGTCTGGGCAACAGAGAGACTCTATCTCAAAGGAAAAAAAAAAGGAGGAGTCTAGGAATCCCCTTCTGCCTTGTCTCCCAGAGACCCTGCTGATCCCCAAGGAACCGCTGCAGCGACAGGACCTTCCTTAACTTGTGGTGCCCATTTTGTAGGCCAAGCCAGCATAGGGCCAGGCAGACCTTACAGCCTCAACACCCTGATTTGGTGCAAATGGGACTCTCGGGGCTGGATGACCTTCTTGTTCTCTAAGTGTAACTAGGATTTAGCCAGACAAAGAGACCATTTACACAAACAACCAGAGCAAACAGGAAATCCTTCAGCTTCTGAAGTCAGGCAGGAGTTCGGCTCCTTTTCACCTTCCCTCCTCTCGGCGGGGAGGATGCTAGGGCTGTGTGTTCATTACGTGCAGACTCGAGGTGTACGTTGCCGAGCTAACCCTGCAGGAGAGGAGAACTGGAGAGTGTGTCCTGGAGGTATTTCTGAGGGATTGTTCAAAATTACTCTTATTTCTGCTGGGTTGTGAAACGCTAGGCAGTGATGACCTTACTACCTTTAAGGCCACAGAAACTAGCACAGTGCCTGTCACATGGTTGGCGATCCGAGTACTGGGTTGTTTGTAAAGGACAGAAGACTCGGCAGAACTAAACAGGCGTCAGGGGAGTTGGTGGGTGCGAGTGCCCCTGTCCCTGCACTTCGGGCAGCTGCTGGTCCTCCGGGTCCTGCTGTGTGATTAGATGGCTTCCAGGCAGCCTGGTCCGGCCAGTGCTCATCCTGCCCTCTCTGCCTTTTCTCCCCCAGGGTATTTGGTTTCCCTGTCCACTATACTGACGTCTCCAACATGAGCCGCTTGGCGAGGCAGAGACTGCTGGGCCGGTCGTGGAGCGTGCCAGTCATCCGCCACCTCTTCGCTCCGCTGAAGGAGTATTTTGCGTGTGTGTAAGGGACATGGGGGCAAACTGAGGTAGCGACACAAAGTTAAACAAACAAACAAAAAAACACAAAACATAATAAAACACCGAGAACGTGAGGATGGAGAGAAGTATCAGCACCCAGAAGAGAAAAAGGAATTTAAAACAAAAACCACAGAGGCGGAAGTACCGGAGGGCTTTGCCTTGCGAAAAGGGTTGGACATCATCTCCTGATTTTTCAATGTTATTCTTCAGTCCTATTTAAAAACAAAACCAAGCTCCCTCCCCTTCCTCCCCCTCCCCTTTTTTTTTCGATCAGACCTTTTGTTTTCTACTCTTTTCAGAGGGATTTTCTGTTTGTTTGGGTTTTGTTTCTTGCTGTGACTGAAACAAGAAGGTTATTGCAGCAAAAATCAGTAACGAAAAATAGTAACAATACCTTGCAGAGGAAAGGTGGGAGAGAGGAAAAAAGGAAATTCTATAGAAATCTATATATTGGGGTTTGTTTTTGTTTTTTTTTTTGTTTTGTTTTTTTGTTTTGTTTTTTTTTTTTGTTTTTTTTTTTTACTATATATCTTTTTTTTTGTTGTCTCTAGCCTGATCAGATAGGAGCACAAGCAGGGGACGGAAAGAGAGAGACACTCAGGCGGCAGCATTCCCTCCCAGCCACTGAGCTGTCGTGCCAGCACCATTCCTGGTCACGCAAAACAGAACCCAGTTAGCAGCAGGGAGATGAGAACACCACACAAGACACTTTTCTATAGTATTTCAGGTGCCTACCACACAGGAAACCTTGAAGAAAATCAGTTTCTAGAAGCCGCTGTTACCTCTTGTTTACAGTTTATATATATATGATAGATATGAGATATATATATAAAAGGTACTGTTAACTACTGTACAACCTGACTTCATAATGGTGCTTTCAAACAGCGAGATGAGTAAAAACATCAGCTTCCACGTTGCCTTCTGCGCAAAGGGTTTCACCAAGGATGGAGAAAGGGAGACAGCTTGCAGATGGCGCGTTCTCACAGTGGGCTCTTCCCCTTGGTTTGTAACGGAGTGAAGGAGGAGAACTTGGGAGCCAGGTTCTCCCTGCCAAAAAGGGGGCTAGATGAGGTGGTCGGGCCCGTGGACAGCTGAGAGTGGGATTCATCCAGACTCATGCAATAACCTTTCGATTTTTTTCTAAAAGGAGACTCCCTCGGCAAGATGGCAGGGTACGGAGTCTTCAGGCCCAATTTCTCACTTTAGCCGATTTGAGGGCTCCTTGTGGTGGGATCAGAACTAATCCAGAGTGTGGGAAAGTGACAGTCAAAACCCCACCTGGAGCAAATAAAAAAACATACAAAACGTACTGGTGCTTTCCTGTCTAAGTCGCCTTTTGTGTGTTCTTTTATGAGGCCCCCACCATCCACCCCTCTGTGCACAAGGCGGCTCCCGGCCCCTGGAATGTGATGTTTTTGGTCATCTCCAAAGGCTGCAGTTTTATACTGGGAGGCTGATGACACCTTTTATTATAATTATTCTTATGGTTCTGGTTATAATTATGTTTGTTTTAAGATTTTCTTTAAGAAAACAAAAACCCAACACCCTTCCCTTTAGGTTTCAAACCAAGGTGCGGGAGCAGGGTGCTTCTGAGTTAGCGGTGGCTCTGGTGCCCTGGCTCCCACCCCTCGGGCCAGGTGGGCCACTGGGCATGGTGACAGCTGGGCGGCCAGGGAGTCCCTAAGGTCTGCCTTCTGGGCTTGTCACTCTTCTCTTCTACTTCCCCTCCTCTTGAGTCGGGTGTGTCAGGGCTGGAGGGAGGACCGGCCGTCTCTCTCCTTGTGTGTGTGATTGGAGTGGTGTGTATTTCTTTTCTAGTACTTGGTCTGATGATAGCTGTGCTCTTACCTCGAGTCAGCAGCACCTGGAGCCCCAAGTGCTCGACACTTTGTTCAACTTCCTACAAGGCAGGCGGCCTGGCGCCAGCAGTAGGAAGGGAAGGCATTGTTGGCTCCAGGGTGAGGGCCCGATGGGCAGGTGCTTGCCTGGGTAGATGGGGTGTAGATATGTGGCATATAGAGATATATATTTTATAATGGGAGGGGGGATGGCACCTCCTGGGACTGGTAGAGCTGGGAGGTGTGTCGGCAAGCACATGGCCTCAAGTCCACGTCCCTAGAAAGATGGGGCCTACGGTGATAGGCGCTCTATAAATACATAGATAGGGTCATGTATAAGAAATATTATGGGGTGGGGAGTGGGGGAAGCAGGCTCAGTGTGCTGAGCCTCGGTCCCCACTGCGGATATAAACCCCACACCAGTCAGTCAATCTCACACGCATACACAGGAGCATATTTCTGTACTGATGCATAATGAATGCACTCACACACACACGCCAGGGGGCTCCCAGCACTCTTCTCCCAGGGTTCAGGACTTTGTGGAGTCAGCCCGTGCAGCTATTTACCTCTGTTGCCCTGATTGCAGGTAGACTGTCAATCCCAGAAGTTGCTAGGTGCTGAGGCAGGAAAAGGAGGAGGTTTCTTTCAGCAGGTGCTCTCCTCTAGCAGGTAGTGTTCTATCTCTTTTGCCCCTGGTGATGTCAAAAGATTCTTCTGTTAGCAACCTGTGATACTGACCTGCAACTCTAGGCACCAGTCAAGTCAGCCCTCAACTCCCCCTACCTATTCTCCCCCAACTGAAATCAAATTGACATCCAGGTCTGTCTTGGCCAGGGGGCTTCCATTGGGGAAAAAAAAAAAAAAATGGGACAGTGAACCTCACCTATTGAATAAACCAAATTAGTAATTAGTGACAAAACTAAACCAAGGCTTGGACCCCCTGCTCATTACTCAGGAGGAAATTCACACAGCTGGTGGCCGGTCTCACTCCTTTTTGGGGTGCTTGGTCCTAGACCCCAATCGACTGTCTCCTCGACAGATTGGTGTTTAAGATCATGCCCAGTTGCTTCCTGTTACCTCTGACAGGTGGTGACTGGGCCGCTGTGGGGCTGGAGCAGCGAGGAAGGGAGCCTCTGCCCCCTCAGTGGAGCCCTGTGCTAACTGTGGTGCTCACCCAGCCCCTCCTTGCTCCCGCAGGGCTCTGTCCTTCGGGCCTGGAGTCCACCAGCGCCACTCCAGGAGGGCTGGGGGAGGAGGGGCTGCCTCAGGCAGTCCAAGGTGCTCCCTCCCCCGCTGGCCAATGCTAAGGTCTTCCCTGCTCCCAGGGTCAGGACGGAGGTTCCTAACGCTCAGGCTTTCCCAAGCCACTGCTTAGTGACAGCCTTTCTAGCGGCCCAAGCTCCACCGGAACTGGGCCTGGTGCTCCACCCAAGGGGTTGGTGTGGGGACTTGGGAAGAGACTTGGTAGCCAAGGGCATGGCAAGCCTGGGGGATTCCTGTGGGCTGGCTTGCTCCAGGAGGGAGTGCTGGGCACAGAGGAGCCCTTACGGCTGACAGCTTGAGAGCACTTGTTCCTCCAGGTCTAGCCACTTGACCTGGCCCTAGAATGGACCAGATGCCCCAGGGGTCACGGCCCCCCCCTTGCAGGGACAAGAGTTAACAATCACCAGCTTTTCTTCCAGCCCAGCCTGTGGGCTTGGTCTCACAGTAGAACCTGGGAGAGTGTGGGGCTTCGGGATTGTGCCAACTTGGCCGAGTTGAGATACGCTTAATCCACCTCAACCCTGGGGTCTCTGGGGACAGGTATTGTGTCACCTTCCAAGGGGCACTGAGCTTCAGCAGGCTGTAGATAAGGCAGAGGTTAGAGGCAGTGGAGGGGAGAGCCAAGAAGGCCTAGGGAAAATTACCATATTCCCTGTGGAATTTTCTTTCCAAAGAGCAGGCCCATTTCCCCCTTAGAAACAAGGGTTCTGGGGGCTGAGGATGACAGCTTCCCTCCTGCAGGTGCCAGGTGGAGCATGATGCCAAAGAGATCCGTGGCTCTTGCCTGGGGGAGGTAGCCAGATGCTAGTGCAGAGGACACAGTCCTTGGCCTCCTGCCTAAGCAGGCAGCTAGTTTCCAGCAGGCGGCTGGTACTAACCCCCGCCCTGCGGGAGTGGCAGGTCAGTGCACCGGCAGACTGGGGGGCCGCAGGCGGGCACTAGCAGGGGTCTGCAGTCCACAGATGATGACATGAATCTGTTGCTGTCCTTTTCTCTCTAGGCCCCAGAGACTTCTTGCTATCGAACATCCTATTGGAAAGCAAACTTTCCAAGAGAGCATCCGGGACCTGTTAGCTTTTGAAACGGGCCTGGGTGTGATTGGCTGGTAGAGATGCCCGTGTGATTTTTGGCACGTTGCAGGAGTGTGGATTGGGACAGGCACCCCAGCAGGAAGGAAGGCTGACACCAAAGGGGTCTCACAGGGCCCAGCTCCCTTTGCTTCCCGATAATTGGCCACCAGGCCATGGTGACTCTGGGGAAGCCTAGATAGGAACACCCACCTTCTCCAGCAGGAGAAGGAATATTTCAGCAGAGCCATCTGGGAGATGTTCTTATAGGAAAACTGCAGTCGTTCATTCCATAGTTTTGCTTATATAAATAGAGTAGATTTGGGAGGCAGTTTTGAATTCCTGTTGCTACCCTGCTTGGTGCAGAGTTGCAGTGGCCCCAAGTGTCTTTCAGAGCTGTTGCTTTTAGGAGCCCCCTCAAGCTGTGGGTTAGGGCCAAGGCGGGAAGGGGGTGCTGCCTGGCACTGTACCCTGAAGAGGGCCGCTTGCTTCCTTTGGTCGGGAGCATGGCAGAGCCAAGATTCCAGTGGGAACCGAGTTTTCTAGCCAGGCCCCTGTTTTGGTCCCGGGAGGTGAGTAATCTGAGTTCGTCATTGCGCATTCTCCAGGCTGCCTGCTCCCAGTGCGGGAGACTAGAGAGGACCCTGGAGTTGTCCTCTGGGAGTCCTGCCTGTTTGCCAGGGAGCAGCTGAAACTTCCTCCCTCCCAACCCCGGGGTTGGAAAAGGTGTAGTGGAGGGATGGTCTGGAGTTAGGATGCCCTTCTGGCCATGCCCTGCGGAGCTGGGATTAAAGAAAGTGTCCGCCGCCTCCTCACCAGGCCCTGTGCTGGGGTCAGGAGGACCGGGAGGAGAGGGAAGGGTGAGAGGATGGACTCTGCTGTTGTAGTGTGAGCTCTGAAATCTTTACGTTTTGGTAAAGGCAGGCCAGGGTCTTTGAGGAGTGAGTTGGGGAACCTTGTCTCTGTGTTTCCAAGACCCAGCTAAGGTGGGCGTTTGGTGGGTGACCTGTCTCTGACCCAAGGCAGCAGAGTTCTGGGGGAGGGAGAAACAAGGAGCAGGGAGGACAAGGACACAAGATCCCTTTACTGGTGGTGACTTACTCACTTCCCCCACCAGAGGGCCCGGGCTCCCGAAACTCCCGTAACTGGAACGCTCCCTGGCTCAGCTCCACTGGGGGGTGAGGAGGGCGGCTCCCCCAGCCCCAGCCTAGCGGCCTCCAACCCTGTGCCTGAGGACATGAGCAGTGGTCTAAAGCGTCCCCTAGTCCCATTTCACTTCACCCACCGATTTGGTTGCACAGCCCTAGAATTCAACAGACAACAAAAATGCTGAAATTCCTTAGAATACGCAGAGGGAGGAGGTGACTCAACAAGGTGCTAAAACATTTTATTAAAAATATATATTGTTAAATTAAGTCTGCTGTCTGGACAATGACTGTTTGTTTTGTTTTCTTGTAGTGGAGTTTAAAAGAGACTATTATTTTACTCTGATATATTATTATTAAAAAGGCATTTTAACTTTGTACTTGAAAACTAAATGAGCGATTTCATGTGTTTTAGCTGAGGCATTGAAGTAGCGGGTGCTTACTTATTTGTGGGAAATCATGTATTCATACTGAAGAATAAACTCCGTAGCTGATTTGGTAATAACTTTTACTGTTACAGACGATTTCGCTTTGACCCCGGTGGCAGAGCACTTTTACTCCACATTCCACGCAGCTAAATGCAGGACTTCCCAGACTCTTCCCTCCCCAGCCCTCTTTCCTTTCTCTTAAGTTCCTCTTTTTTCCTTTATTATTATTTTTTCCTGGTTCCAGCATCCTTTCACCACTGTATTTTTTTTTTTTTTTTTTTTTTTTTTTTTTAGGGTTGCTTCTCTATTTATTGACAATAATAATGTACATTTCACAGTCTGGTTCTAGGACATCCAGGGAGGGGTGAGTGGGGGCCCGAGTGGGTCCCTGCCCCCCCCCGCCTGGTGTCCTGTTGTATCTCTGTGTAAGTGATGCTCGTGACATAGCTGTTTATGAAATAATTAAAGAGGTCAATGCGTACAACAGATGTAGAAAGTCTGTCAGTTCCGCCTTCATCACATTTTTTTTTTGTGCCCAGAAGAATATAATAAAGCTCCTTTCTAATGT